GTGATTATCTGTTTTTCTAAGCAAAATGGTAATTGACTGAAACCTATACATTATAAGCAGGCAACATTCCCATAGGAGACCCAGGATGACAGAATCCTGTCATACGATCAGTTGACATCAAGTCCCTACTTATTTGGTTTTGTTTCCTAAAAAGACTGAGCGTGGGAAAGCTCTCACCCTCCATTGACAATATATAGTTTGTTTAGTCTTTCTATTCCCCCTCTTCTGCACTGGTGTTCACTGTCTTTGAGTGTGATTCCATAGAATAAACATAACACAAAACCAAGGGCATTCTGTGTTTCTTTCTGGAAGACTATATGCTCCAAGACTACATCCTTATAATGTTTTCTCTAATTGCTCAGAAAAAAACTGGTATTAATCTCAAAAAAGATCTATCACCTTGTCTTGACAGCAATGCAAAGTATTGCCAAAAGGCAAGGGTCTTGTTTCATTCCTGGTGTTTCCTACTAGGATTAGCTTCAAGTCCCCTGTCTTCAATGAGAGCCAAAGGGGCTTTTCTTTTGTTTTCCTAAATAAGCACTTCATTCTCATCACATCAAACTTATTTTTAGAACATTTGAGTAGAATATCTTTAAGTTGTCAGTTGCTACTGTATAAATAGAGGTTGCTAAGGAAGGAACAGTAGCTGCTTCCTTAAGCAACAGTAGCAAAAGAGGATGAAACAGCAGATGATTTCTTAGCAGAAACAGCAGACTAAGAGCAGCAGTTCTCTTCTACTGCAGTATTTAAAAGATGTAGAAATGCCATCCACTAAAGTATTGATATTTTAAGTAAGAAAAATAAAGCAAATCTACCTCAAATTGGCACATTTGGTAAAGAGTGTAAGAAGTAATTTCCCCTGCTTCTGAAATTCATCCCCTTCTCCTTTTGTAGCTCTTTAGTTTTTCTTTTACAGTTGTAGACATGTTTACTCTCTTTTTTAGGGTCATTTGCCTACTTCCAAGCAATCCTAGGAATTCACAACTCAAGGATCTCACATTCAGAGCCACATTAAAGATTGCCAGCAAGTCTACAAGTTCCCTGTAGCTGCAGAGAGTATGCATTTAGGTATAACATTGTTATTTAGGGAGAGATTTGTCAGAAAAAGGGTTTGGTTTCTTATTTTTAGTTAGTTATTTAGATCTGAACGTTGTCAGATGAGACCACTGGTGCAAAGAAAACTCTTTACTGGGGCTTCTACTGAAACCCCCATCTTAGAGGATGGATTCAGTAATTTCACAGTTGGACATTACCATTGTGCCCATTCTTAATCACTTTCAGAGCACAACAGCAGCCCTCTGCACCCAGTCCACTAACGAAGCCACTAGCAGCTGCATAATTTAGAAATGATTATTCTGCTGATGTGATCACTTCAGGAAACTGGCTGCCACATGCTGTTCTGGCTGTAGTCACTAGGGGAAGATATTACAACAGTAGAGCTCCTCTGGGAAAAAAAAAGGCTTAGGACTTGTCCACACAGGGGACAATTCAGGACGGTTTATCTGAATTAGCTAGAGATTTGCTGTGGATTAGTTTGAATCATATAAAACCTCTGGGTGTATACTTTTATTCAGAATTAAATTATCCTAATTCAATTAGATTAACTTCCACATGTTTTACATAGCTAATGATAACAGACCAAGAGCAGAAGACATGTAAGGGTATCTAAAATGGACTGCTGATGAACACAGCCACTCTCCCCTTATGCCTCACGAATATCACATCCCACAGGAGAATGTAGTATCAAGAGCGGACAACTGGAATGGAAGAAACTGAGTTCAAGGACATGACAGGCACAGAACTGGATGTCACGATCATCATCAGAAAATAAGTAGCTGGAGCCTGGACACTAGCCGGTTATATTGTTTCCAGCTAGAATGACCATCAAATGCCTGGATCATGAGATCCTTTTAGGCAAGCGGCAAGTATGCATCTTTCAAGCTAGCCTTAATGACGGCTATCTTACCACCAACTTGTCTGGGATAGTGCTCATCAGATACTGGAGACAGGTTTCATACAGGATAGGCTGTGCTTCCTAGGATTCTCTACAGCAAGCTCCAGTATTGAGCAGCACCTAATCCTCTGTGTTGGAAATGGACTGGGGCTTCATGATGAGGCAAATACAGGCAGTTTAGTATCAAAAGCAAACCTATTAGAGTTGTACCTTGGCATGGCAACTCAGGGAGTGCTGAGGAAACAACCAGGCTTGTCACACTAGGGCTACCAGTTCCCACCCTGACAGGAGTATTTCTGAGGTGTTCACAGTTTCCTCTTCCCAGAACACCAGGTCAAGCCTGCAAACCCTAAGGAGCTTTTTCCGCCACCCTCACACAGGAAAGGATGACAAAAAGGCAACACACTGTTTTAGTGGAAAGGCCCTGGTGGCCAATAGCAAGAGTAAAGCTTGCACAACCCTAGGCATGCAGCGGAGGTTCGAGTGGGCAGACAGACCGCAAAGCTTTCCTTTACCTTCCTTTGCGGAAGCCCCTGAAAACCAAAAGGCCTAGAAAGTGGAGAGAAGGACAAAAGCTGAAGCCATGATAGGTCCCCATTCATTTGGCTTTCCACTTGTCCAAGCGAGAACCAGGCAGCCGCTGGCTCCAGCTGCAGTCATGCTTGTAGTACACTTTGGGGTGAGGCCGTGGTATCTTGCCTGATCTGTCCAGTTTTGCAAAGGTACTTGAGGGGAGATGAAAAGTGCTGGTGTACAGCAGGAAAGTCTGGTGCGTTGGGGTTGAGTCAGCTGTCGGAGGCAGAGCCTGGTGAAAATGCTCTTGGTGTCCTTGGAGGGAGGTGCTGCAGGGCTGAGAGGTCTGGAGGTCTGCTTGCCCTTCTGCCTGCAAATGCTCCTGAGTGTCCCCAAGGCCAAGGCTATGCAGATGGCCAGGGATGTATTTGATCAAAACAGACTCAGGTTATCTGCTCCTAAAATGCAATGCACTCTGCTTTCTGCATGGCAAGCCTCAGAAATACCAAAATTAGACTTCAGAAGAGTATAAAAAGCTCCCTGCTAACATAATGTGCAAATGGACTGTCGCACTCACTGTGATCTTGGACAGCAACAAAATTAGAAGGCAACAGCAAACAGCAAGGAAAATTGCAGCTGAAAAATACCAACATTATCCTCTTTTAATTCATATTGTTAAAATGAACATTTTTAAAAGCTGAAGAGATGTGAGCCCAGATGCTATCGCTGTATGTCTTATGCAGTTCACGATTACGAACAAACAGCAGATTACATATAAGGGAATCTAAAATGGTACGGATACGAGCCCAGCTGGTGTCCCCATATGCCTTATGAATTCCATTTTTAGGAACAGCATATAGCATTAGAGATGCTTCTTAAACATCTTATTTATAAATAGAGTGGAGCTGTTTCACTGAAGTACACACGGAAAAGGTCCACAATGATCATAAAAACACCTGCATTCAAAACCACTGAAATGGTTCAACCGTTGTGTTTTTATCAGGAGCCACTCTGCACCAGAATATTCCCTGCGTGAGGGATGATGCTTGTTTGTCACAGGCTCCTCACTGGAATTTTTTTAAAAACAACCACCAAAAAGCCATTTTAGTCAGAAAATGCCAACTTACTTTTGTTTTGGCAAACTGTTCCTACTGAAAGCTTTTTCAGGTCCAGAATGGAAGAGCGAAGGCCCAAGCTCCAGGGCAGTGGAGAGGTACAGATGTGGGAGAGGTAAATTCTTGCCACTTCTGAAAATCGAGCAAAGTAGGGTCTGGAGCTTGGCTGGTACACATCCTGGGGAGAGTCCTTCACCAACAGGCTGTGGACTCTTCTGCAATACAGCTCTTCCTCTCCTGCTTTTCAATTTCACCAGAACCACTTCTAAAGGAAGGTAGTTAACTGTGGGGATTCCTGGTTAATTGTGAAAGCATATCACCAAATGCAGTTGACTTAAAATCATCATTTAATTATATGTATACTATCAACCAAAATATATCTAGAGCAGGTATCTAAAAAAAAAAATACACTACATATGAATGAAAAATTATTTTATTTAAAAATACATTATACAGCAGAGTGTCTCTCTTTTTGTTTTCTCACTGCTGGTTCACAGAGATAATATGATAAATTTAACCCAAATATTTGACTGGGAAAGATCCTGAGAGAGAAAGAGACCAGTTACAAGCTGATGATATACAGTACACTGAAAGAGTCATCTCTTTTAACATAAAAGAATCTCTTGGTAATCTTATAAATCAGATATAAAAAATGCAGGTTTGCTACCATGCAAAAATGAGTGAAGATTTCATTTAAATCTGCACACAGAGAAATCATTAGTACCTTGGACCCTAAATAGCTAGACTAAGAGAAAGGTAAGTGTGCCTAACATGGTGTTACAAACTTTGGACCTACTACAATTTTGTAAACACGGTTGATAGTCTAATAAAGGTGGATTTTCAATCACCTAAGTAATGTTGTTGTAGCTAAGGGCTCTATTCTAGGACTTTTCTCCCGACCGCTATGTTTCTTTATTCTCTAATTCTCAGCTTAACACAATGACTTTGTGAGATATGCTCTATTGCACTCAAAGATGACTTGGCCTTGCTCTGTTTGCCAAGCACTATTTAGGTAGTTGCATTTTAGTGAAATCAGAGGTTAAAATAAGAAGATAAAAGCAGGTGTTACCTGGATGACTATATGGGAATGCATTAAAATTCATCATAGAAAATATATACCTGATTCTATAGCCTTATGTTTCAAGCATCTTCTAACAATGATTAATGCACAGGAAATACACCGAATTATGGACAATTTAAGGCCTAGAATGTTCAACAGCCTGCACTGAACATTACTATTCTCAATGTGTCTATAGCGTACCAGCTATTGCCAGAGGAAAACTTTCTGGCAGGTGTTAAGAGCATCTTCAGCATCTACAACATTCAGATCCATTTGGTGCTCAATTTTTATAGGACAACTTCACTATGAATAGTCAGCAAGGCTCTCTTTTGAAGGGGAGGCTCAATTTGATTATTCACAGCGCTAACACAGATATGATAACATTGCCTGATGTTGAAGAAAAATCATCAACACCACACAGACTGACAGAGGATTTTTTTTTTGCAAGAATATGGCCCTGAAACACAAACAGAGATAGAAAGATTTGCAGAGAGAAAGTCTGCCTGTCCTGGTCACTTAGGCTGAAGAAAATTAACGAAGCCATTTTGTTTTTTCCATGAGTGATCCAACATGAAAATGGAGAGTAGAAACTCATATGCACTTTTCCTCACTAAGCCAGTGACCCTCTTCTTATCTTAGCACCCATTCTCCCAGCATAATATCAGGGTGTACAACAAATATGAGAAGATGCAGGCTTCATTGAATAATTTGTTTCAATGATTTATGAATAGCACGGCTTCCCATCAGATATGCTGAGCTAAGAATGGAGCCCTTAACCTTTCATAGGATATCATTAGTAATAAAGAATATATCAATGATCAAACTTCCTATATTATTTTCATTTCTTTTAACCTAGATACATATATATCATCCAAGACATTCAAGAACTACAAAACAACAATTCAACTACAATTATGTCAGGAAAATATCCAAATAAATAAACTTTTAATTATGATACAATACTTATTACAGTAAAAATTGGCATTTTTTTTTCTCTTCAAAAGCAGAAGCACCAGTCTTACATATAACATACTGTTTGAATGATATCCTACATGGAATACAGCGTAATACAATGTGCAAACAGCATTTTCATACAGAACATAATATTCGTCTAGTTTTTATACACTGAAATTGCCTCAAATGGAAACAAGTTCATGCTGAATTAAAAATGTGGATTTTAAAAATCAAAGTCAAATCAAAATATGAAGTACTGTTGGAATAGGTACATGAACCATTAAAAACAATGAGAAGCCAAAATAGAGGGTGTTGTCAGATAAATATAATTAGTGCTCAGTTTGTCCCATTCCATCAAAAAGTAAACAGTTAATATTTTTGCTAGAAAGTAAAGTGACGTTCTAATATTTAAGAATTCTTCAAAATGTTGGTGTCATTTTAATGATGTAAAAATCAAGTCAGAGATAGGACTTCTAAAAATTTCTTATTTTTGATACACTGCAATTATCGAGTGTGGGCTGTGAAAAGAGATGAAGTCCAATGGAGTGAATATACATCAGCGTCAACATCATGTGACTTCTGCAAAGGCCGTGATGTGGTTCTACGAGTTAAAGGAAAAACAAACAGATAAAAACCCAGAAACCACACAGATAGACATCAGTCGCCATTGTGAAAATTTTTGCCTCTTGTGCTTTAGGGACAGCCTTATGTTTGGAGACTATTGCAGGATGAGGCAAACAAAACTGGTTTTCACTGCAGTGCTCTCACTCACTCCCATAGCAATTCTTTGTTAACCACTGAAAGACTGGATATGTAAGTGTGCTGAACAAAGTAATTAGGTGTGATGGCTCTACAATATTTTAGGTTTAGATGTTTTTTTTTTTTAAATTAAGTAACAATGTGAATAATTAACTGTACTTTTATTTCTACCTTATTCATAATTTAAAGCAAAATTCCTAGAAGTTAAAATGAAGTTTCTGACAGATTATAATATTCTATTTCAGCGTTAATACAATTTTAATGTTGCATTTTTTAAAAGATTAATTGCTCCCCATGAGCTCAATGGCACAGAATCAAGTAGCGAAATGCTACAACAAAATTGCATTCAGCAGTTGAGAACTCATATTCAAATTTTCTTTTTCAGATTCACTACAGTGTCCTCTTCATTTGCAATGCTATTCTTCTCTTTCCTTCAATGGGATGATTCTTACAAACACAAAGATGTGTATCAGAATGTAAATATACCATGTGTGACTCTACACAGTAAAACTGCAGCATCCCAAAGAGCTTTGCTAATTTTTCATGCTCTAACCTAAGCAAGTGCTTCTGCAAACATTTGGTAGGTGAAGACTCAACTGCACAGTCACGTGCAGGATCCAAAGGAATTGTACGTTCCCTTTAGGAACACAGTACCCTTGAGTGCCACCATTTTTTATAAAACATGCAAGGTGTAAAATTAATAAAGGGAATCTTGATGTTAAGCCACATGTTTGTTCCCCAGCACAAAAATGCACAGAGGCAAATAATACCATACAAAGCACTGCAGATTTCTCTCATCACCTGCCCTTCTGGAGCAGACCAAAGTCAGAAGGGAGGAGGTGTAAGCTGAAGAGGAGGGGGCACACAGATAACTCATGGAGAGTGTGATAGACCTCCCTTTTTTTTTGCTTAAGGGAAGTTCTAAATCCTTCAAAACATCCCTTATCATATACCATAGAAAGTGCTGGAGAGAAACAGTGGCCACCACACAAGTTTATATTTCTCAGTTCTTTGAACTGTCTGGATATTTGTCTACCAGCCTGTGGGGGGGGGGAGGCAGGCAGGCATCTTTGATTTTCACATTACAGAAAGGAATTTAGAATTACCCTGATGGGAGCACAGGAGAGCTGCCTCTTATTCCCCGCTCTCCAAACAAGGCTGGCAGCTTTGCTCCCTCTCTCACTGTGCCATAACTGCGCTGTGTCCAGGAGGAGGAGCTCTCTTCCCCCTCCCCTATAATATGCATTTTAGCTCTAGCAATGTTCTTGCTGTATTTTACGACAGCTTTCATAAGAGAACACCACTGAATAGTAAAGCACCTATGTACATTCTTCTCCAAAATGGAATATATTTTAAATAAACAACAACTAAACCATAGCCAGCAGATCTTTTAAAAAGGATTAGAAAATAAAGAATCAGTGTGCAACTTTCTGTGAAAATGTTTTCAGTAAACAATATTAGCAAATGTTGTTTCCAGTTTTTGATTCTGCAGAAAAAAAGCAAAATTAGATTTCCTAACTAGAAAATAAAACATTAACATTTCAAAGCATTTTAGTTGGCTGGCCATCTTCTGCTTTCATTACAGGAAAGACGATACACTGGGCAACCTCAATGACTCTGGAGTTGCCGTGAGGCTATTATGACATTTTCTTCACAGTATTTACTTTATTTTTCCTTATTTAGACCTGAAAATTATCCTGTCAACTTAAACTAGCATCGGTCTAAAATTACTCACTTTGTTGATAAGTAAGATGGTTTAAAAATGAGGAATTAGAGGAAAAAAAAAATCCTGTTTTTTTTATTCTAATCAATTCTTTCAAGTCCTGCTACACGCTGTCCCTTTCTCTAAGCGACACACATTTGTCTGTGATGCAGAGAACCAAATGCTCTTTCATGTGCCGTTAATTCAGAACTGGATAACTATTACTTAGGAAAGGAGAACGTGGTTCAGACTCCTGCCAGCTATATTTCCAAAATGAGCAGGTTGCCATCCTTGGAAGGACATGCAGAGCATGGGATATAATAAGACAGAAAAAAATCCCCCTTCCTCAATAAACGCTCGGAGAGAACTGCTAAGCTACCGATCGTGGAGCTATTGATTTGGACCCTAGCGAAGACTTGTCAATTCATTTCCGATGGACTCAGCAGGGTGATGCATAACTAGGTCAAAATTAATCACTTGCTGGTGGCAAGAATCACTGATACAGATTCATGCAACTGTCTGGGTATTCATGCTTTTTTGTATGCTATCGTCTCAGGCAAGACTACAAATAAGCCTTGCTGAGACTCTTTACAGAAAAAAAATAAACAAACAGCATCGCTCTTGAATAACTGCATTTCAACTCTCTGACTATGCTCTTTTACTTCTGCTTAGATTTACTGTGACAAAGTTCAGCATGAGATACTAATCACCGCCAGCAAACAGATTCACACAGATGCAGGAGACAAGCAAAAAATCATGCACAAGACCTCGGCTTCTCCAACTCCATGGGAAATGATTTTCCCTACGGTACCCAAAAGAATTAGAATATGCTGAGAGTCTGCTCAACGGCAGCAGTTTCACAGACAGGCACACCAGCTTCTGTATTATTCATTCTAAATTGACAGTATCAGCTTGGTGTCAGCACCACGTGAACAAATCATGCTTCATAACTGTGAAGCACACCACTAACAGAAAAATGAAAGCTAAAGGCTAAGCCTTGAGTGCAGGTTTCTAGGGGGAAATGATCCATACCTGTATATCTTCTGTTAAGATTTTCATTAAGTTCTGTTTATAAGAGATTCTACAATGTTAAAGCATTGAAAAAAAATCCATCACTACTTTTTTGTGGTTTGCAGTTTTCAGTATATATATTAAATATTTTTTACTTGAAATTCTTTTGTTATGCTCTCATGAATCCAGTTAGAAATATACAAGAATAGTCATAATCCTAAAAAAGATTTTTCCATTTTTGAAAACAGGAATTTGAAAAATTGTTCGTAGTCCTTAACACAGTGGAGTTTGTTAAATACTAATGTAGTAGTTCAGTCAAATGATAATTTACCATACAATAATAATAATGTTATCATACAATTCTCTGGGTCAGCAAAGTATCTTTCATGCTTTTACTGGACGAATCACATTTTTAGAGAAAAGAATGAATTCAAGTGAAATTCCCCACTGAAAACATTGCAGACCTGCACAGAACGCTGCTGCCACACTGCATCTGCCTTGGCATCACTTCCACACACACACATTCATGTGCGCTCTTGCGCACATATGTTTATTGCCTTATATGAAGATGGTCAAAGCGGTCCATTCCTGACATCCAGGAGAAGAACCTAATGAGGCGTGCTTTGAGGGAGTTTCGTTGCAAAGGATCTTCTTGATTGTTACTAATACCTTGATTCTGTAACACCTACAACACGTATATTTGAGGAGGTTACGCTGAATATATTGTTCCATTTCCTGTGTTTAAGTATTATTTTATTTGAACATTAGACGTGGTGATCACAGTTTGCATTCAAACAGAAATAATTCTTGTACAGTCCCCCAGAAGTAGGTTTAAGCAGAAGAGTAGGACATGAATGCAAATTCACATGCTTGACATCATTGAAACAAAATTGCTCGTTGCTTTTATAAGCTGCCTCTCCTGGGTATGTTTCTGTGTGTGAAACAATGTTGTATTACATCTCCTTTAATATACTGTATTATCAAAAGAGAACCATTACGATAACAGAAATCTGAAAACCTGCCTATAAGCTAATGTCAGCACACGGACTCCAGTCAAGCCATCCTGGAGATACACATACATGTACTAAAACACTGTATGGATACTTATGCACACTTTTGGATGCCAAGCACAACGGTATTTGGATACTTCTCAACTGAAATATTTTGAAGCAACAGAAATAGACACAAACCCTCTCCCCCATTTGCCCATAGTGTGATGAGCTAAAACATCTTTGTGTTTTAGCCTGTGAGCAAAGCAACAGGCCAATGGTCTCCCCAGAGAGCCCCAGGGACCAGACTGGACTCCCTAGGCCATGCCGCATGTACGCAAGTGCACGTACCAATGAAAGACTTCTTAGTACCAAAATGCTTAAGACCAAGGAAAAGGCATTAACACTGAGAATTAAAATTAAAAATACCCTTTTCTGACACTGTGAAGATGCTGTGCTATGTCTTGTGAATAATCAAGATGGAGTAAATAGAAAAACCATTACACCTTAAAATCACAAGAGGAAAGCTTCCCCGGTCTTAAAATACTAACAGAATCCATCGCAATATCTATACTTATTATTGTTAAAATGTTTTATCACCACCATTACCTTTGGCACACAGACAACAGAACAAGAATTATAGTGTCAAACTCAAGATTTTTGAGACAATTAACCCTGACAGTCACTAGCAACTGGTATGACAGGCAACAAGAATGTCACATATTGTGAGAGGAATTCCAAATACTTCTCACCATTAAAACTCAGAAATGGCTGTGTCAGAGGGAGAGCAAGAGACCCTAAACTATCTGTTTCTAGTTCACAGTCATGCTGGAGAGTCAGTCCTATGGGTGGAGTATAAGAAACCTCATTGTAACAAGGAACAGTGACTGTGTTTGGGAACATGGTTGGGCATTGCTGACAGAAGTAGCACTATGAAGGAATGTCAAGCAGAGACTTTGGGGATAAATGCAGCTTAGCGGTCAAACAGAGCACTGCAAAGAACCCACTGTGCAAACAGGTAATATTGAACAGCTACAGAAAGCACTGAAGATCAGACACAGTAATCATGCCATAGGAGATGAAGCACAGTGCCTCTCCTAACCCAACCCTTCCTTCTAAAACCTCTTACCTCAGTATTCTATGTACTGCCTCAATTAGTCCTAAAATGCTCCATGTTCCCTTTGTATTTGATTTTTTCAAAGCTAGAATACTTATTTAAAAAAAAAAAAAAAAAAAAAAAAAAAAAAGGGGAGAGAGGAGAACACCTCTCAACAGAGTTGTGAAAAAGCAAATCCTTTAGTGTTTGGGACAAATATTAGTACCAAAGTCTCCCACTTTCCTGATTTAATGTACATCTGTGAAATTTGTCTTCTGTAGGAATTGCAGGGAAAGTGGCACAATATCCTCTTCCAGACCAGGTGGTTTTTAGTTTAATTTCAAGATAATAGCCCTGCTGGTGACGTTTCCTAATAAAAGATGAGATGGGCGTTGGTCCCAGATGGCAATGCTACTTAAATATTTATTTAAAAAAAAAAAAAAAAAAAAAAAAAAAAAAAGGGCTAGCAGAGTCAGCAGCTCCTACAAGAGGTTTAAGGGCCCTCTGTAAGCCCTGGCCAATTTCAGGTGACTTTAGCATGAAATAATGTCAGTCTCCCCTGAAAGAGAAAGAAATAGTTTGTGACTGCACTGGATGAAGCTGAGCTTTAAACTCTTCAGGTACCACTCAGAATATCCCTATTTCCCAGTAACTCTTGCAAAAGAACAGGAGTCTCTAACCTTGACTGTGGTAGGAAGAGAGCCTCCTCTCTGTAGGAGAGTGCCAGCTAACTGAAACACGAGTTGTCTTATAAGAGATGAAGAAGGTCAGAGACAGGAGAGAAAAAGGAGCAGATGGGTGAGTGATGAGGTTTCTTGGCTTTCATTCTTTTCATTAATTCTGAGGATGAATGTAGTTAAGGTAAAAGCAATAAGCCTGCATTGCTGAGCCAGCCCTGGCAAGGATTCTTCAAGGAGACACTCTGCAACTATGGCTTATTTGAGTACATGAGAAGTGGGTACCCATGCAGAACAGCTTAATCATCTGCGTGCACCACAATTAAACAGAAGTATCATGCAAACAGTGATCTACCCTTATCATTAACCAGCAGCAGCTCAATCCAAAATATTACAAGTACACATACTCCTATTTAAGTACACTTCAAATGTATCTCTTGACCTCCACCAGAACTCAGACAGTGGCAGCGCAGAGAGCATGCCAAGCATACCGAGAGCATTCATTCTCCAGCAGGAAAAAGCACTGGAATAGCAAGTAGGAGATCTGGAAACACAAAAATAAGGTGCTTCCAGGTCTGTGTGATGCATCATGTGCTTATTCATTTATGGGTGAATTTATAACAAAATTGCAATGAGCGAGGTCCCATCTGGTAGGCATTTCTAATGAAGTCATTCCTTAAGACAGCATCTTTGAATAGCTCACTCCAGATACCCATATAGTTGTTATTTTTAGATACTGATGACAGAGTTGCATTGCTTCATGCTAGCACTGCCTTAGCCCATGATAACTTCAGTCAGTCAGAATTTGTGCTACTCTTAGTAGCTGATTTCTGACAGTAAGCTGTCTTTAGTACTGGCACAGGAGCTTGCAGACTGAGAATAAAGAAAAACAGATTTAAAATAAGCCAAATGTAAATGTATGTGCATTCAGAATATGGAACTGGAACAGCCCTAACCGAAATGTAGTGAAAAGTAACTTGCGCATGGCTGAAGTAGGCAAAGGCAAGTAGCACACAAGTTATTTAGCAAGGGAGTTATTAAGAAGGGAGTTAAAAAGCAAAGACTAAGTTAATAATTCCTGTAGTGATGGTAGTTAATTGAGATGACTCAATTTAGATCTTAATTCCACATAAGTATTATTCTTAGTGCCTTTTATTTAACAGGGTCTGGCTTCTATCTAAAACTTTAGACTAAACATAAAAAAAAAAAAAAATCCACAAAAACTCAACACCTAAAGCACTCACATGTAACTTTTTCAACAATTATTTGCTAATTCAAATTTAAACTTTCTGAGAGTGGAAACAGAAAAAATAACAAAGTCTCCCCATTATCATCCTCCCATGTCATCCACTCTGTCTGGAACGCAGAAAGGCTTTGCAACATAGACAAAGATGAACCCATACACCAAGATCTCACCAAGTGCAACACCCTGCAGACAGTCCCCAATTTAATTATCTAGAGAGAAGTTCCATGACAGAAAACAGCTACCCTCTCCTGCCACAGGCATATGGGTTCAGAAGGAAAGAAGCTCGTTCATGTAACAGGGTCCTGGGCAGTTCACAAATGACAGAAGTCACCCTCAAGCAGAGCAAACATTATTCCTGCCACCACCCTTCCACACTCTCCCATAGCTTTCCCCACAACATCTCAATCTTGCCTAAGCCAAGTCTCAGGAAAAGAACATTGTTCATCGTGAGCAAGAGGCTGTCAAACCAGGTAGAAACACTATGTTAACACGAGGTCTTTATCCCCAGAGAAAAATTAAAAATTTCAACAGCCCGAGTATGTACATTTATTACCTATGATGGCTTTTGAGCTGCAGAAATGGCTTCTATTGCAGGAGAGCCTAGCATATAAATAAGACATGCTCTTATTAATGTGGTATGTCCTAGACCAACTGACATCTTGTTTTGTTTTGACATTTTACAGAAAGTTTACTGAATGGATTATTTTGAAGATATACATTCACCATCTAAATGCTTGTTCAAGCAAATGAGACTCTGACCTCCTTATGACAAGATATCAGCAGAAGTAGCTAAGACACATGGTTCAAAAAGGCATGTTAGATGATTCTGAAAAGAAATCTTCTTTCCCTTCAAGGGAAGGAATAACAAACCCAGGGCTAGCAGCAATTCTTACTAAAGGACAACTTCCACCACTTCCAAGTGACTAAGACAGACTAGGAAGTGGTTTAAAACATTTCTCCTCATGTTTAATATTAAAAAAATATCAGGAGTAATTTGGATGTAAAAGAATGCCATAGAAATATACTTTTGGTGCCCTATCCAGTGTAGAATTGTTTACTGTCTTCAAACTTCGGCATAACACAAGAGATTTTAACAAATAATGACAGATAAAGTCATTAGAAAAAGCAGAATTGCTTTCAAACTTTGCATTAGTAGTTCAAACTTTCGCCCTGGTAAAAATGCCTAAAATGTTTTCTTTATATGGTTATGCTATCTATTTCAGTGCTTGCTTGCTCATAAAATTGTTCAGACATAATCTTACTTAACACTTACATAGTACAACATCATCTTCAAAAAACATAAATTTTTATTACAGGAAACTAAAATAAATTTTAAACACTATGCAATACTTACTCATGCAAAAAGTCTTGGCATACCCAGGAGACTATCACTAGCATGTCCTAGTCCAAAATCCCATCTGCTTTGGCAAGAGATCATGGCTTTTCTGCAATTACTGTATGACCCATGCTACTCTCTATTATTGTCACGTTCATTAAGATGTTTGCCCTGCTAGTGCAAATGTTTCCAAGCGGGTGCCCTGTCCTGGGGCTAGCACGTGCCTGATAAGAGCCCCACAGCTGATCCACAAGGGACTGCATCCGATGCTCTACACTAGCCTGAGGACATACCCCAAAGAACTAGGATAAATGCCATTCATACCTGAATTTCATAACCCCTTGGGCTCAGGGGTTAGATTTTCTTTCTAAGCGCTTCAAGCTCTGTGGACTCTCAGCCAAAGCGTTAATCAAACTTACTTGAGGAACACAAGGAAAGAGGGCTTCAGATCTACTGAGCCTGACTCCACGGACTTAGCAGTGGCTATAGCAGTAAACTGGACCGATACGTAACGATTGTTCTTGGAGGTGACATGAAGAGTCTCCCAAGGAGTGTCTCTGAATTAATTCTTCCCTTCTTTCTCCTTCACAGCCATGTCTCCTTACTTTAAATCTGATTACCTTGGCACTCTTGTCAAGATAGTTTGGGATCATCCTTCCAGGAAAGCTACATTTTACTTAGTTGTTTTTTAAAAAGTCAGACATTACCTTTTCTAAAGGGCTTTCTACTCGGGGTATGCTGATCATGGGCATCTGGGCCAGATTATCCATATGAGAATGTTCATGTTCTGGTTGACGTCCTCTGAAGTTATTTACCACACAAACAACCTAGAAGGGATTAGAAGATAAACAGAATAGCTAAGCAACAACTCATTTTTTTGAGCTTTGATCCTGACATCCATAATTACGCACAACTGACACCAGCTTTAGTCACAGCTTACAGTAGAAACACAGAAATGTGAAGTTCATGTTTTACAGGAAATCCTTAATTAATATTTCAAGACAAAAGATTTTCAACCAATGCATTGTTACATGCATCATCTGAGAACCAAAAAACCCTCTTATCTAAAAGCAAATCCATTACCGAAGCTGAATAATAGAATACCAATTATTAGCAATGTCATGAATAGATGTCCAGAGCACGTGCAGCAGAATATGACAATAACCTTAAATTCCTATGAAGGGCCAGTACCATCTAAGTTTCGACCACCAAAGACTTTCTCAAATGAAGAGTGAGAAAGGGAGAATAAGCAGGCAAGGACCATCCCCAAGTTTGAACTAAACTCTAAGCCTGCTCAGGGCATCAGTGACTCACACAGGGATTTATGAATGTGATATACACCAGTTTGTTAGTGTTCCTACTAATTCAGACACTCAGCTGAGCAGCAATGTTTGCCCATTGTATTTTCTTCAAAATACAAACTAAATTTGATGTCCTGCTACTCAAAGGAGTTTATGCAATATACATCACAAAACGTAAGAAAAAATGCTGGGATAGATTTCTTTTCTATTCTGTACTCTTTTATGACTTTAGGGGCACAAACAGAATGGAAAAACTTCTTAAAAACGAACAACCAAATATAACTCCCAGACACCTTGTGTGGAAATGAATGTTTGGAAATGCAAGCAGGCATATTTTAAAGGAGACCTAAAGCTGCCCTCACATTTCTCAGAGGAGTGAAAACACCCACCTCAGCCATCCTTGTGAGAGTTCTCAGCCAAGCCAAGTCTTCAGATCCAAGACCTTGAGATACAAGATCTTGAGATCAAGACCTTGAGATCCAAGAATCAAGCTCAAAAGTGTTTCCATGGGCAAAAAATTCAAAGGTGTATTTAGTACTATTACAAGCTGCCAGGCAGACAAAGTTGCAAGCAGTAAACAGCAATGACTATTCTATGCCATAGTCTTGCGCTGAAGTTATCAGTGATGGTGATTAATAGATTAGCGGCAGCTTTCTGACACAGACGCTAGTCATTGTGAACTGTGACTAACGATCTGGTTTTGGAACACAGTTCCAGAAAAGGAGAAGGCTAAACAAGGATTTTTTGATACAAAATAACATAAAATTTCAACATAAACCTGAATTAGCATGAAAGAAACTCAATAGGGTTACTTTAAAGCTGGAAAAAAAAAAAGCTGCTTATTCTCTGATCAGTGTAGGTATCACTATACTGAATTTAATACTTTATACATGAAATCATAACTAGATGTTATTCTGAAGGATATACACTTGCTTAAAGCGGGGCTTGATGCAAAAATTATTGATTGAAATGCTACAGTCTGGTTTGGAATAAAGTCAAAAAGAGATCATTTGATCAGTCCTTTCTTGACTTCACATTTCTGAGTGTATGTAAATGTAACTAAGGAAACTGGTAATTAATTAAAAACAAAAATTAGAAACACCTCTTTTGTCATTTAGTTGTTTGAAAAGTCAAGGCTACTAATATTTTTTTTAAGAGACACAAAGTTATACACTAATTTTTTCAAAAGAGAAGTGACACACATGTACACTTACCAAAAATACTGCTATAGATATTCCAATTACAAATCCTGCTATTACATCTGACCAGTGATTTCGATACTCTGCTACTCTGTTGATTCCAGTAAGGAAAGCCAAGCACATTAAGCCCAAACACAGAACAGGTTTTGCAAGTCTTGTTCCTCTGGCTTTTACTGTATTGGTGATATACATCTGAAAATTAGTAAGGAAGAAAGTTAAGACTGATAGGTATCTCCCACTAACTGGTGAATAAAATCTCTACATTTTGTTCGAATAGACTATGTGTATTTGGCTTTTTTTTTTTTTTTGGTAAAGAAACAAGAAAGTAGAGTGCTAGATAAAGTCATCACACCCCTTTCCTAGGGATACAGAAAAAGAATTAGACCATACAGCAAAATTACATTTTACGTGAACCTGAAAAGCCCCCAAAAGAACAGGCAAATTAGATAATCCTACCCTATTACTCCCGATCTACGTACTTATTTATGCAGAGGGGCTGATTTTTTACTGCGTAGTGTTAACAATAATAGAAAAAGATCTTAACCCTGGAAGGGGCTACATCAAGGCCTTGTTTTCATTAGCAAATCTCTTTCTTCCTCATATGCAACTTCTCCATGTGATTACCTAGAGATTTGTCAAGAAGCAGTGAAAATTGAACTAAATGCCAGCATCTACTTTTTAAAATAATGCATAGTAGTTTCAACCAGCGCTGAACCAATACACTCCTGTACTTCACAGACGGTGACTGAGGATGTTTAGTACCAATCCCCCCAGTACACAAACCAATCTAAATGCAGAAAAACTTTTATGCATCAAACTCCGAGAAATCTATCTATCTATCTGCCCTGCTTGCAGTCTAACTCTCCCTGTGCAATACTACTGAATTAAAACCACTGCCTGATGACAGAGTAGCTCTTCTGTCCTAAGGGTGCATTAGTGACTACTAGGTTTAAGCCAGCACTTTCCAAGCTCTGATGGGCCAATGGAAGAAATGAATACCAAATCTTTGATTTTCCATTCTCTTGAATCTTGGCATTAAGGCTGCTTGAAAGTTCCCCCCTGAAAAATTACACTTCAACTAAAGTTTTTTGACAAAAAAGTATTTACTTTCTGCAGAAGATATTTCTGCAATTAAATCATTGAAATCCCTAAAACTTTCACATTTAGATGGTTTTTAGATTGGAGAATGCAAATATTTTCTATGGAGTTCCACTAGAGACTCCAAGTGTGTAATGCCATCACTTTGAACTGCAAAGGGAAACAGATGAATCTGCACTGAAGAACTGGTACCTTTTTGGCCAACAAATGGGCAGTCCTTTGGTTTTTTTGTACTGTCTGAAACTTCAGCTGAATTTACTGGGTAATCAGTTATGAAGTACTGCAATAATTCAGTCAAGAATTAGTTTAGGAAGCGTAGTCGGAGTTACAATAAATAAAGTGAAGGAAGTAGTGGTCAGAGCTTGTCTGAAAAGAGCACCATCTGACAATAATTTTGTTCAAAACACTAGAGAAAGATCCATGGCTTAGAGGACGAATCAAAGCTTAAGCTTAAAATTACAGCAGAGTACTGCAACACATACATCTTCAGTGTACCTTATGTGATGAACAGCAAACTAGTAGCAAGCTTTCAACTAATGCAGACAGAGCAAAGGTTTGAAAAAAAGAGTTTTGAGGTGTATCTTCAAACTACATTTCTCCTCTCTTCTTCCCAGACCATTTCATAAATAGTGTTTCTCCCTTTGCTGACTATCCCTTTATCTTAGTAGCTCCTCGTATTTTTGCAGTCTCTCTTCAGTGAGTTACTCTTACCATGTGGACCGCTGATAAGACAACTGCAACTTTAATTTCCAGCTTTTTAGCACCACTGGTTTTCTTCAAGCTACAGACAGAGCAGTGAATACTGAGTGTTGATGGTTGCACACAGCAACCCTCTATTTTAGTGAGTCTCATTGCACTCCTGGATACTACCGCCATTAACCACATTCACACTACACGTTAGAACATCTGGTGCTAGGGAAAATATTCTAATATTTTGAATATGCAGCAAAATCACCAAATTTCAAACACAGTTTGGGTGAAGTTGCCACAGGCAAGTTGGCAGGAAGCTATCCTGCACTTAATTCTGTATCGTGGCATATTAAATCAAAATGACTACTGAGAAGGAAAAATCAGCTTAAAAAAAAAGAGTGTAGCTTGTTTAAGGCAGGTCTTGGTGATATATTTCAGCTATCTATAACACCTGGTCATCACCCAAGAAGACGACCTCAATTTTTATGAAGTCAAAACACATTATAACACAAATACTTGATTCTGTAGTACTTCAGTCAAGCTTCAACAGTTTTAATACAAAGCTAAACTGGAAAGTGCTCTGCAGAAAATTCTCAGAATCTTTTTACAATCAAGCGTGTCCTTCAAATCCCTACTCAGACAAAGCACTGAGTGAGCAGAAACAACTGCAGACTCATGCTGTGCCTCACGTGAGTAATAAAGACATCCATTTGCTGAGTCCCTTCCTATCTGTGCAGTCAAGACTGTCATGCCCAGTCCTGTATTCAAAATAACCTGAGGGTTCTGCCAGCATAGGTACCATTTCTATCTTTTCTTTAACGAACTGACACCACTGATGTTAAGAACAGTATTATATTAAAATATTATTAAGGAATCAATAGAAACAGGGTAAACTTTTCCTGAAACAGTGTAGCAAACAGCCTGTATATTTGCAAAACTCTACATAGCAAATGTAGACTCTTCCAAGGCAGGATTCATAGATGTCCATTCTTAAACTTGACCTCTTGCAGCTCCAGTACAATATATTAACACAGTCGACTCAGTCAAAGATCTGATTTGCACTAAGAATAAAATACAATTAAGTGGTTGTTTTCTTCTTGATTCTGGAAGGAAAACTATAAGCCAGCACAGTCCATAATTGACAAAGAATAAACATCTTGAAAAGATGACAGGATTTTTTCTTCTCTTACTTTTTATAAATATTAAATGCAGTATCAACAAAGGAAAATAGCTCACTGGTTTAAAACATTAGTGAGAATGAATGACAGTATAAATTTTTACATGGCTAAGATGTTTACTGAATGAGTCCATCTCAGCTCCTTTTAAGAACAGAAATTGGGAGAGGAAGAATCTAATTAAAGAAATCTTTTATATTAGTCAACAGCAAGACCAACAGCAGAGATTTTGTATGTAAGGTCAAGGATTGATACAGTAGTTAGAATTAATTTTGCAGGCCACACATTCTCCTGCAACATCAGATCAGCGGTGAATCTTCTCTCGAACTACTGCTATTGCTTTTCCTTTTTCCTGAAATAAGGTTTTAGTATGAAAAGATATAAAGGTGATACCAGCAAGCAGACACTGGCAGAGTCATATAAGGAGGGGGATGTTATCTGATCATTCTATATACCAATATTTACTAGATTTTCAGGAAAACACAAACATTTGACCTTCAGTCTTCAAGATGCTGGAAGTGAAGTCTTCAGAGAACCTCATAAACTGAAAGAAAAGCTTTAATTGAAGTGTTTTTGAAAATATGTATTTGAAAGAGTCAGTATCATCGCCATCACCACCAAAGACAAAACTACCGGTGAGGTTTCTGACATGACTGTCTCAGGTCATAATATAAGCAATAATCATAGTGTTGGCACTTAGCTTGTACCAGGAAAGCTTTCAAAAGTGTCATGTTGCAAGTCTGACTCATGTGAAATATGTCCTAAATCTAGTGCAAACAAAATCATTCCAAAACACATAAGAAAAGAACAGGAATTGTATGTCACGTGTAGGACAAAGTGGCCTCCTGGGCTATGCTGCAAGCTCTTCCTAGTCGTCGTCTTTCAGCTATCTTTAGGCTCACCCACACAAATGTCTACGCACTCAAACACACACGTAACAGGTCCCAGAGTCCCATTTTAGTTAGAGTGGAGCTAGGCATCAGGCTGTGTGCACCAGCCAGGAGGGAGCTTAATTTTCCTAGCTGATTTCATCAGCCTGGGGCCCAGAGATGCAGGTAGGAAGATCCCCTCTGTGCTTGCTGTTTCAGTCCTCCCTGAAGCAGATGGTCTGGGGGACTGAGAAAGGGACAGACCAGACCATTAGTGGGCAGAGAATAGCGACTCATGAAGCGACAAGCAGAGAGAGGAAGGATTCACTGTACAGGCACCTATCGCAGGCAGTGCTCCAAATACAAATTATCTCATGTTTTGTTTTTATAATGTGCTATCGTTAAAGACAGAATCTTGAACTGTTCAAGTAACATTATAGATGTTCCACCTGAGGAATGCACAGCTTTCAATATTCATCATACCTACAAGAAAAGGGATACTCAGAGATCAAAAAGCTGAAAAAGTAGTGGGCTATAGCGGACGGTGGTCTATAACCAGGTTCAATGTTTAGTTAGAATCCTGTTTGACAACCTAAAAGCTCTTCAGCTTCCTTGATTAATAATTACTGGGTCAAATTATTTCTAGAGCAAACCACAGTCATATTCTCAAATCATCTGGGCCTTTCTGCAACTGCCCACTGAAGATTTTTTTTACTGCTCTTGATGCCTCCTCCAGCTTTCTCCATAAGTTTTGCAGTAATTATTGATGACCCTGGACAAAAATTGGCTTTCAAAGTCAGGGGTCTGGGTTGGCAAAAGGAAGAGAAAGCTCTAGAAATGCTGGACCTTACTATTAAGTTCCCCACTATGAGCTCCCCACAGTTGTAACTCTAAACAACTGGAGAAGGAAAGAGGCATCCTTCAATGTAGCAGGACTGTAAGATACACCCAAATATTAATTAAAGCTGATTCAGTCTACAGAGGTCATTATCTTGAGCAATTGAATTCTAATGAAGAACTGACTGACAAGAAATACCTAGAGGTCTTTAAATAAATTCCTGGATCAAATTGTAATGTTATTTTACTATCCAGTCCAAAAGTAACTAATACACCCAGTATATGAAGCCCGTGATATATGCTGTACAATCAGTATCAAGGGATATTTTTACTTGCTGCACCAGATACTGAAAAAGAAATCCCACTTTCCTAACACTGTCTCTGAAAAGCAGCCAAAACAATCCTTTAATTCTTTAATTTCCTAACAAAAAATGGACAACAAAGCCGACTCAATAAGGTGGCTCTGCTACATCTTTTCCTCCCGAACACTCCCTTAAGCCTATCAAAGAGAGGCCTGTCACGTCTCCGCCAGCTGCCTATCGAACAGGAGCCAAACAGGCACTTCAAGATGACAGAGAGGTGAGATGAGGCCTAGAGACTGGATCAAGGGGGGAACACTGAGCAGAATGTCACCATGTTGCCAGCACTGTGACCCAGACTGCCTTCCTGTCTGTTCCCAGTGACTTATAAACACAGTAAACAGCAAAGACGATCCAGCAGAATGCCAGGAGCAAGAACCTTGCAGAAAAGATGACCTCTGGCCCGACAAAAACTCTGTAGAGAGGAAAAAATTATGTCAGCTTTACCTGCTAGCCCTGCCTGAGGCTGCAGTTGAGGCCAAGTGTTCCCAGTACAAAGCAACAAAAGCAGCCTACAGACCTAAGAGCTATGTCAATTAGCAAGACATTAAACCTGCTCTTTTATCATTACAAATCCAAAGTACGTCTGAAATGTACACAGTGACACCAAGTTCAAACACTACCCTACAGACAGGTCGGCTGCCAACTGCTCTTGTCCAACGCAATAAGAATAAAACAACAAAAAAGCAAAGTTTTATAGAATTAATTAAAATTTGTCTTAAACTACAACTAGCAATAACCAATCCCCTAGGTCTGCAGCACCAAAGGACAACTGTTAGTCACAAGTCTCATATTTAAATCCATGGAAACAGACTGATTAAATCTTCATATATCACTTTGAATTCCTACCAAGAAAAGACTTCTCATTTCTGTGTCTCAGTTGTGGAAAAAACACAAGTACGTGCATACTTGGCTGCTCTCTCATTGTCCAGGCTGTGTCAGCTTATGCATATCAAAATGTGGCTTATACAATTATATTCTATTTAATAAACTTGCAGTGTTTGCCTTAATAGCTATGTTAGCAGATGTTGTTCCAGCTGCAAAAGGGTGAATTGCAACACTTGTAATAAGTAAAAGCAGATGCAGTCAACTTATTAACCCAACTCAAGCAAAAACAAACAAACAAACAATCTAAGATGAATTGAGCAGACACCTAAGGAGAAACCCAGGTAGCAGCCAGCTTGGTTAGAGTTTTGGACTAGATTTACAGTAGTTCATTTTGAAGTCTCTGGTACACTGGGAAAAATAAACCTAAAAGTCTTAAGACGACAGGTAATTCATCCTTGAAAGTGTCTGTGTTTGGAGCAGGGTAGAGAAAACACCTAACCATAGTGCTGCCATTCAACATTTCCATTGCTAAGTCTTTCTTGGTAGGTACTGAGAGAAAGTAACAGATGCAAACATTACAGAGAGGTCTAAATATTAGCAATACAATTGTTTGAAAAAGACTGTATTTTCAGCA